CCCCTCGCGGGGATGTACGTGCATACGGGCCTAACTGGCATACCCGGCTTCGCCCGGTGTCAATACGCACTGATAACTGCTATTTTCGATCTTTTTCACATTTTCTTACTCTTGTTTCCCTCTTCATTATGTTTTCGTAATCAACATGCCCCCTTACCCGTTATGATAACTCCCTGCCTCGTAGCTCAAACTTTGCAAAAAAAATTGATAAAGTTGATATCGATCGATAACGAAGACCAGCCTACGATATCCGTCCGCCTCGAAGCGTATGTGTACAAAGTTTGGTTCGGATTGGTTCAAAGATAGCAATTTCTACTCGGAACATACGTACAGACAGACAGACACACAAGACACTCAGCTTTATATATAAAATTCATAGAAGAGCTTCAAAAAAAAAGAGACGATCTAGGTCGATTCTACACGTTTCAAGCTTTCGAATGGTATGTCGATGTTGAGACATAAAGCTTCTATGAATCAAAAAACTCTGTGTTTCAAAGCCAAAGCATTGAGACATTCCTCATAAATATTACACCTCCGCACCACTTATTCTCCTCTTTTCACTTTCATTCATCCTCGGCATGGAGCTTACGTCAGCATTCACCTCAAGGCTCAGTAGCCCCCGCACTTTTGGCTCACCTTTAGTTTTAAGAATATAAGGTAACCTGACTGCATGTTTTGGCCCAGCATTAAGCCAAGCATGGCTCTGTACTGCCAAATTTGCGCTTTGCATGCATGTTTTCTTAGCAATATAACGGCCTTTAACGGCCCACAGCTTCGCCCACATAGGCGTTAAGCACACTGAATATAAATTTGAAGTCAGCGTTTCATGCTGCATCTAATGGCATGCAGTTTGACTAGATGACCACTTCCATTTTTGACCATTCCCTTGTAAGCTCCGAATTATTTTTGTAGAAGGTGCAACAACGATCTGATATGGGGGACCTCGCTTCAACAGTTGAACGAATAAGACCGTGTATAAACGGTGACAACCGTCATATAATTGCTTGGTAAAGCTGTCAAACGGATTTCTCACTGGAGTTTCCTTCGGATTACTCAAAAAAAAACAAGTGTAGCAGGCTAAAAACTCCAAAAGGTTATATAACCTCGCACGACACCCGAATAAGACTACACTTCATACTTTGACGCACTGTTGCTGATCCCGAAAACGAGCTTTATAGCGGGTCTAATGGAAATGCTGAATCTGCTCATCTATAAATGTCAACGAATCAGAAATGGCTTTTTCAACCAAGCGAAGTTTCCCATAAACCTTTCGACAAAGTGATTAATGTAATAGAGGCAATCTGCCTTTTTTTCGATGTGATAACGAAGCAAACATCTTGCGATTTATTCATTCATTTTTTCGATAAAAAATTGCACAAATCTGATGGTTTTTACTTTAACAGATAGTTGTAAAATCTCCATAATTGCTAAAAAATAAATGCTCACATGTTGCACTGAAATCACAGTCTGCCTTCTTTACGTAATTCTACATTAATAATTACAATTTTGTCAGTGTCGTCATAATATCTGGAGATGTGTGGTGGCTCCGTGGCCTGTAGAGCCCTAGGCGGATATAGCGCCTTTGGTGGAGCAGTGTAGCTGATGGTAGACAATGTAGTTCAGCAGCTTTATAGAGTCAATCGACATGCCCGCATGGGTGCAGTGGTAGAATGCTGAGGATTGAAGGCGTGCTAAAGTAGTATCACAAACATCTGTGCAATAATACACTCATATCACAACAGTTCATGCTTATTGCATGACCTTTACGGTGCTTAGAAGAAGTAATGATAAGTTGCAAGGAGATGCCGGCAAAATCGGCACACTCCCGCCAGCGAGGGGAAACAAATAAGAGATAGCGAAACGAGCAGCATAAATGTAAATACTGTAACTAGGAATACTAGGCGAATATTTGTCAGGATACCTTAATGGACGCAGCTGGGGAGTCTGGTAATTGGGAGCGACATGCTGTTAATGCAGTCGCGCCAGCTGACAAAAGATCGCAGAGAAGCAAGTGGCAGTGAGACAGAGTATAGAGGATAATTATGGTGTCTGGGTATATCTAAATTCATCAACGGCAAACTTGGAAAGTCAACGGAGTAACACTGATAATTCTTCTTACTCTCCCTGCATCGTCGCGGCTTTCCGATCAGGTGCCTGTCGATCTCATCACTTCTTCGTTTTACCGCTTCCAGGCATGAATGATGACCTGCGAAGTCGGCATATCATCTTTTGCTGGTATGGCATCTCCGCGGGCCTTGAAACGCAGTTCTCGGACTGTTGACAGAAGCTCTCTTCACTTTGGTTGTCTTCTTCCATCGTCGCGGAGTCCATTATGATTGCTAGAGCATCCGTTTCCCTTTCCGCATCACGTAAAAATTGGTTGAAAAGAACTGCATTGTTGTTCTTCAACTACTTGACTAGACGCAACCTTGTCTGTTTTTGCATATACTATCTGATATTCTATAGCGATAGCAAAAATACTAGCATCAGAAAACAACTGGTGGAAATCAAGCTGCTTTTGGAGCTCTTTTAGCTGAAGTCTGACAGTTTTTCTCTCGCTTTTAGACTGCTTGAGATAGAATTTTTCCAAATTGGTCGAATATTAAGTCCTAAATTGTCGTTCTTGCTTTAACTTGTGATGGGCTAGAAAGGAGAATATGTAAGTTTTCCAAACATTTCTAAAAGCTCTTTATCGATTTCTAAACTGAACTTCAGCTTGAGATTATAGGAGTCAAATTTTTTGAGCAGGTTTGCTAATGCTTTTGAGTGAAATGAGATTGCCTTTTCGAAAAATTTTAGAGACATTTTTGATATTCAAGAATTGTTAGAAAGATATGACTGGTTTTTAAGCCATTCGCTAAATTGAGCAAAAAAATTCAGTTTCTGATGCGGAGGAGAATGGCTGTCGCTAAGGGCGAGGCAGCGGATTTTGGGCGCTAGGTCCCAAAGTTGGAATAGCTATCCTTTGTGCAGTCGCAGAAGCGAAAGCACTATCGGTCTTAGCATTTGGCCGATGCACCATAAATGTGGTGGCTCCGTGGCTTGTTGCCTTAGACGAAAATAGCGCCTTTGGTGGAACAGTGTAGCTGCTGGTAGACAATTAGTTCAGCAGCTTTATTGAGTCAAATAACATACCCGCATGGGTGCAGTGGTAGAATGCTGGGGATTGAAGGCGTGGTAAGGTAGTACTGCAAATATCTGGACAATAAAACACTCGTATCACAACAGGTCGTGCTTATTGCATGACCTTTACGAGCTTTGAAGAAGTAATGATAAGTTGAAAGGAGGTGCCGACAAAGTCGGCACAAGATGAATGACATTAGAATACTGAAATGCGAGTTTGCTCGTGTGGGTTCATCCCAGTGTGGCAACATGGATTGATAGCTTTGAGTCAGCAAAGCCGGTGTCGAGGTCACGTTGAAGTTTTGGTAGCCTCCTTCCACTGCACGTTCCAGCCCTCCTACTGGTCCCCGCTGTCTTTCGCGTTGCACTAGGTTCTACTAAACCTCTGGTCTTAATCCTTAAAGGCAGTACATCGGCAGAATGAGACCCGTGACAAAACAAGGGCACAGGGTAGGAGCCCCATATGGAACCTAACGGCCAAAGTCCGATCTTTCTTTGCCACTTCTAACCCCCGAAATTTCAACGCGAAAGCAGCGCTCATCTCCTGTATTCTCTGGCCCCGCCCATGGTAGGGCCAGAGAATACAGAAGTGGCAGAGAAAGATCGGACTTTGGCCGTTAGGTTCCATATGGGGGCTCCTACCCTGTGCCATTGTTTTGTCACGGGTCTCATTCTGCCGATGTACTCCCTTTAACCCATTGTGTCTCAAGTCTTACCCAACCCTACTCTCACCCCTGCCTTCTACACTTCTGATGCTAAACGAAGTATACAAAACGTTTTGTGTGGAACGCAAATTGAGTTCCGGTGTTGTGTCAGGGCTTGCGGCCGGAAAACCGGTAGCGTGCCGGTGGTCAAATCAAGGTTGAACATGCAGCCTTTTTCTTCATTTTTCACTTGTTAGAACTGATAGCATTTCTCGAACGAGTCTGTAGAGAAATTTAGGGTATTTCTATAATTTTTCATTAAGTACTGGGACGTTGGTACGTAACTCTGATTTTTTGGGGGGAGGGGGCAGAAAATCAAAGTCCCAGGCACAGCAAGAATAGCCCCCTACCAAAAAAAAATGAAAATAATATCCAGCTGCACCGATCCCTGATGACAATTGATTTCATGTCTTTCGTGCCGCTAATTAAGCTAAAGAAGGCAGATAGTGATTAGATTCAATAATAGTACAGTCAAATGATTTTGTATGCTCATGTGTGTTACTGCACACACCTTTAGCGATCCCATCCTAGATCGTTGAAGAAAGCAACCCTCCAGGTGAGTGTTTTCAATGTGTTCTTGATGTTTTCCATCCATTTAGGTACTAGCCACCTCAAAATGATCTAAGTGAAGCTATCGGACAGCCTCTTGCGTTTTTGCGACCGCAATTCCAGGATGGGGACGCCAAAGATGGAGGGATGTATGAAATGGACACATGATCATATGAAATGCTTGTATTACATTCCTTGTAAAGACTAGTAACACTGAAACACCATCGCATCAGGCTGCATGCTGACGGTGAAGAAGGTGAGTTTGTCCCTCCCGTCAACAGACTTTGGTTTGTGACAACATTCTAGTGTGGGACCACGGCTATCGTAATTAAAGGAGGATTCGGAGTAAACGTACGATCATGACTCTCCTACCACGTTAGGCCTCGACGACGATTGGGTCAAACTTTCAGGACGTTACTTATGAAAATATTTGAATAAACCCTGTTTACTAACATGATCGCCAAGAAAGAAGATTATCAAGTCTACCACAGTCACAATCAACAAGTTATATCGCTTCTATACAAATATTATACGGGAAAGTCATTGAGGATACATTGAGGCACAGAAAAACATTTATCATCGCAATTACAACTTGAAATGAAGTAGTCATCCTTTTTTTATGTTCTATGCTATCTGCACTTTTGTAGTCATGTCTTCCTTCCGGACATTGTTCCCCTAAAGACGCTGTTTGAGCACAGTACAGGAAAGCCATTGCTCAACTATACTCACAACAGAAGGCAATGCAATTTTTGCGTTCTTTCCTTCCGCAGCGCTCATCATCTGTGGTTTTGTAGCACCAGGAAAGAGATTTGGCCTGCGTTCTTCGTCATTCATGCCTTTGAACATTTTGAAACTCTCTATTGGGCGAGCTCCAGGGAACTGCCGGGGAATGAACTGAAATTAGAGGGTTGAGTAGGTGGGACGGCTGAAAGGAAATGTAATCCACCAGTAGCGTATCCATGGCCGTAGCTGCTATGATGTTTGATACAATCTGTAAAAATACAGAGTTTACAACGGATTCAAGGTTTACCCAAAAATTCGTATGATTACGGTTCAAACAATTCTATGAATCAAACTCGAAGAATTCCGTTAAAAACCTTTTTTGTCAAAATCATCGCCTACTTAAGAGTCAGGAAGAAGGTACTCAAACTAGATAACATCAGCAATGCAGATTTTGCTGCCTACTTCTCATACAACGAAAAAAAGATAAATAAAAGGAGAACGGACGTTTTCCTTCATCATTCTAACTGTTTTTCGTCTAATTTTACCGCCTAAATGGCTGTGCAGATAAAAGAAATAATCTCCCTAATTTTTCTGAACTTCTTAACAAATTTCACCCCAATAAGTGCACTTTATCACACTTACATCCCATTTTCTTGATTTTCAAATCGCATGAATAATTCTGCTCACATGTCTCTGAATAGGCTCCAGGGACTGGAAGTAATCATTGATCGCTTTCGTAAATTCCGGAATTGTTAAAGTCTCGTTCTGGATGATGCTTGTCAACTGTTGAAAAAGTGAAGGCAGAATGTTCACATTCCTGAAAGCGGCTACAGTCGTTTCTAATCTGAAAACTCATGAGTATTGATAACGTCTCATAATCTTACGTGTGTGCATTTGCAAGAATTTCCGTTTTCTTCGATTCTCGTTCGGTTTCGAAATTGTCCAATTGCTCCTGAACAAGATATGTTTCGGAGTCACATCACATCATCATTCTAGGGCAGAAACCATGAATTCTCAAAGTCTTTTCAGCGTAACTTATCCGAAAACAACAATGCTTTCATATACTTGCAACATCCAATCTCAAGCAAATGTTTTTTTTGTATCACTGAAGCAAAGTTTGCATTGCCATCTCGAGAATCGTAAAAACTAGGTGATAACACTCAAGCAAACAGTATTGACGTGTATTTGCACATCGCTATCATCACACGATAACAAAACTTTCATTAGAGCGTGTTTACTATTCGACTTTGAAAATTTTTGTTTCACAACGGCGCTCAAATTAATAGATCTTTACAGCTCATAGAAAATACGTATTTTCCGGAAGTTAGGAGGATCCTATTATTTTTGGATCGATGCCTTCAGAGAAAAGCAGAACGATTTGAACTACAATAAAGAATGCTGACCTTGACCAAAAATTCATATTACAGGGCCGAAAGAAAGTGCCTATTTTTTGATTGTTAATAACCCTCTTGTCATGAAGTTTTTCGAGAAACTTCAGGCATCGTTTTGTAGAGCTGGCTTAGCTCAGATTTACAGCATAAAGCGAATTACCGTTTTACCTTCGTTCCTTCTTCCCTCCTCAAAGTTCTCACCGTAGGATTACGGTGAGAACTTTGAGGAGGGTTTCGCGCCATTGAGGATCATATTTTATCTCTAAAAAAGGAACAAAAAGCTGAGAATTTGCACATCAGGGTAGTCGGAGTTGCAGATTCTGAATGTGTGACTTGTACTTCACCGTAATGCTTTTCTCATAAGTTACGCCAGATATAAAGTAACGAACGATCTCTTTCAGACAACTGATTGGAACTTCCGCAGAAAGTTTGGGTAATTTCCGCCGGGCACCCGCGAAAGTTTCGTAAACGTGCTGCGAAAGTTCCGAAGAATAGGAACCACACAGCAAAAGAGAATACTTGAGCAAAATTTGAGCCTTACTCTGTTGACTGTGAGACTCACATATCCTCTGCCGTACGGCTGACATGTTCAATAATGTTTAGTTGTTGGCGAGGCAACGTGAAAAGTCCTGCGGAAGTTCTCATTTTCAATCTTCCACTTTTGCATTAGCAAACAAAATCCTTCGGAACTGCTGCAAATTTTGCTTGTCCTGAGGAAGTTCAGTAAAATGTCTGAGTATTTACGTGAAAATTCGATTACGCCATTCAAAATGTTCTAGGAGCGCAAATAGTTATACTGTGAGACCAAAATGCAGAAAACCTTGTTACGCAATTTTACATTTTTTTGAAGATTTTTTCTCGGAATGCTCCTCTTACAATTGCGCCATATGCTACGAGTTCCTACCGTAATCTTACACTAATGAAAAGAAATCGGTAAATCACTCCGTACTATATATCTGGCTTGGAACCAGCTCTACAAGTTGGTAGATAAAATTTTTTGAAAGACTTCGAGGCAAGTGAGTTATCTACAATCAAGGAGTAGGCACATTTTGTCTTGGGACACCCTGTATAATCAGAGAAACGAAGGCAATCTTCGAAGTGTGTAAGCGCTTTCTTCATTCGAAATTGTTCACAGTACTGAATCAATAATCCCATAGTTATTGATCGTTTCACTATAAAACTTCATGGTCGTTTTGTTGAATTCAACATTAAGATGGTTTTTTTCTATTTCTGATACCTCGCGGAGCATTTGTGGATTAACACTTTCTACTTTCGAACTTCGCTTGTGCTCCCGCCCTCCAGTCACAAGAATGAATTTGTATTTGCCAATTAACCCTCATCCCATTGTAGTAGTGACTTATTCGACATGTAAAAGTACACAAAAGTAAAAATTTTAACCGGTGTATGCCTCAATCAAAACGAAATTGGTACAGTAAATTGGTACGGAGCAGACTAAGCTCGCCTTTTTTCCTCATACATTCGGTTCAGATTTTGGAATCCACGTGAGTACAGTTCTTGAAAAAGGCATTTAGCTAGGATGCTGCTTTCGTCTGCTTCATTCAAAATGTTAGCCATGCGTTTGAATAAATAATTTCGATCGCGTTTGCGGCTTCTACAGATGCTGCAGATAATTTTTTTCTCCAGTATTCGCTACCGTTGGAAAGAGCAGTTCAATGAGAACTGGAACATGGAATCTACTCGAGTAGAAATCATTTTGCTATGGAAGAATTCCGCAAAAAAAGAAACTGCAGTTTTCTCGTTGAGCACAAATGTGAAAAATTTGGTTATCCTGATCAAAGAATTTTGGAAAGGCAGATCACAATTTTAATTGGTAGTTGTTAACTAGGGAGACTTGTCTGTATCCAAATACCAAATTGCTGTTTTCTACATCCATTAGAGCTTGGAAATGAAGCTTCTAAAGTCGCAGAATTGGCCTTTTGGTTTTTTGAACTTATTGGGGCATAACTATCCCTTACTAATAATTTAAAACTTCGAATAGTTGATATACGATGGAAGAAGCTTTGAACCTTAAGCACAAATTAGCATAGATAAAGAGCAACTAGGAGGATTTCTATGACGATTTTTATGTCAAAACGAAATTATTTTTCAGCTAATCTAGTATAATTTAGTTTCTGCAAAGTTACTGTTTCAGTGTTATCATATAAGCTGACAAGTATCTTCGAGATGTTACAATTGCGTGAGTACATTGCTCAAAACATTGCGCACGCCAATTTTCACGAAAAATATCAGCTAACCTTTACGCCATACTTGCTTGCCCATGCTGTCATCTTCTCTTTCATTTCAGCCATGGTGTAGTTGGCAACTCCTTGTGTCATGTTCTAAAAATGGTTAAATTGATACGTGAGGGGTAGGGTACTATATGTCGCCGAAAGTCGGAGTTCCCGCCGGACATTTGCGACAAATACACTTTCCAATACATGCACAGGCTGAGTACCTGCTGTAATGTCCACGCGGGACCCTCGCACTTTCGGCGACATGTAGTCCTGTACCCATACATGAGTTATATAAATCGTAGAAAGAAAATGACAGCAAACCTTGAGGTCTTCGAGTCCTTCTTTGCTCACATTGCCAAGCAAAGCTGCGGGACTCCCGGGATTGTTTAGGTTGAGGAAGGGAAAGGGGTTGGGAGCATCCTAAAAAAAGGAGCAGCTGCGTAATCGCTATATTTTGACTTTTCCTCTTCAAATATTATTGTAATGTTCACGCGTTTGAACATTCCGCTCTCTTTAGTGTAAAGCTTCTGGTCCAAATGGGCTACAAAGAAAGGAACGGCTCCTTCTAAAACGTTTTGAAAGTGGGGCTTTTTTGTTGAAAACAAATTATGAAATTACGCGAGTCACTTGTTCCTTGTGAGCAATAGAAAAAATTGTTTTTTTCATATCGCAGATTTCAAGTAACCTAAAAACTTCCTGGAGATTTGGCTCCCAGAACGTCCCCTTTTGTGACTATCCACTGCTATAACCTCGTTAAGAATCAAAAATTGAGGAAGGCTTGCAGAAAGATTATTGAAGGTGTGGGTGCAATGGCGTTCCAAGGGGAGGGGGGAAAATGTGTCGCGAAATTTCTGAAAGTGTGAGCTATAAACATTTGCAAGCGACTTGTTTATACTTGTAAATAATCAATGTAATTTGTAAATATTTTTAAAAATTCAATTTAGCTCTATAAAAATTTTTCCGGCGGCGTTGCTGCCCCATGCCCACTTTTTATGGAATTTTGAGGATATGGACCTGCAAAAATTTCAGGAAGCATCCAAAAATAATTGGGAGTGACGTTGGCACCTTCACCAGAAAATTTTTTTTTCGCGCCTTCCCCTCCGGACGGGAATCCTGGGTAAGTCACAGTGTGGTTGACTCTTCTGCTTAAAAGAAAAAAGTTGCTTTCGTTATCCCCGCTTCACAGAACAATATTCTGGGAACGACATTGCTTTAACCTAATTATTTTGGCAAACGGTCTGTAGAAATCAGGAACATTTCTCCCCCTCCACCTCCACCCCCGGTTCTTCTCAGCTTCCTCAAAGTGTGCGCAAAGCTTGTCACGCTACTTTTCTCACTATTGTCAACGCTGATCAAACAGTGCCCCCGATGAACATCCGTATTGAGTCAAAGAGTGAGAAAAGGAAGTATCACAAATCTATGAGGTGAGAGGCTCGACAAAGCTTAACAAACACTTTTTCGCAGCGTTTTCCGGGTTTGGTCATAGTCTAAACACATCGCGACTATCGGGTCAGTGATGGGCGCAAAAGTCTCCATTGTTTTGCAAAATTTGATCGAACGATTAGGGTCTGATGATATATTTACTCTAGGAATTGCACAGTATCATCAGCGCATGATACTTCCGCGGAATTTTTTTGTACTTGTGACGAAAGACTGCTCACAGAGTAGTCTTTATGTTTACTTGAAGAATAGAATGCTTTGCAGTCATTGGGTCGAGTTAGAGAATGAGTGGCTTAGAAAAGAAAATAAATGCAACTGTTTTAGAAGAATAAATTTACAGCGATAACAGAAAATATCCGAAGTTTTTTCTATTCCAATACTGATAAGTTACCGTTTATTTATTTATTAGTTGCCGTTTTTTCCCGCTCTATACCGTCTAATGAATGTGAGGTTTCTGAGTGTGATATTGTAATATAGTGTCTTATTTGATACTTTTTCTAATGTAGTGTGGCTTGGTTGGTCTGTGTTGCCACTCACTAATTTTTGGGTGCACCTGGAATATAGTAGATAAAGAAAAGATAAAGTTTATTGCTTATCATCAGATCTTGACCGATGCGCCTTGTTGCCTTCGTAGCTACCATCTCAGCTGTGAAAATTAAAAAATCTGTTATGAAGATTTGATAGTGATCTCGTGTCCGATTGAAAAATGTAAAACAGACATTTCGAGAAGAATTGTCTTTACATATAACGTGCTTGAAGAAGAAAAAATAATACGAATAGCTAAGAACGCATTCACTGCATATTTCATATTTTCCTTATATGGATAGAATAATACTACTTTTAGAAAGAGGAAAACTATTTACGCAATTTCGAAATGATTTTTGCCTGCCATGTGATTATATTAGGGTGAACGGTAAAAAATGGGACAGCTTTATTTTCATTACATTTTGGAATTTTTTGTTTCGAGCAACAGCAAGTAGGCTGCAACTTGAATGTCGCTTACATGTGCGACCTTCGCCTATTATTCTGGCAAAGCGTCAACGCTCCTCTCCCACAACCCTTTGCGTGGCGCCCTGAAGAACTAAAACAGGGTTTTTTGAACATCGTTCATTCTTGCGCAGACATACCGTAAAGTTATAGAGCAATTGATATACCATTCGAAAGAGCTCTTCATGCTCTTTCAAACAGTATATGAAACATACAGAATTTCTTTCTATTTCTGGGTAAAAAAAGCGAAATACCTGGAAAATCGCGTTTTTTTGGCGCAACAAAAACCAGTAAATCAAGTTTCAATCTGTATTTTCCGAAGAGAGATAAAATGTGAGGTAAACTGCATGGATGGATAGAGCGTAAAAAGATCTTTCAGATGGTACCTATAGAACATGCGTTCACATGCAAAGCATTGAATAGCACGTATCTGTGTTCTCAAAGCTGCTAATGGCCATATGTCCTGAATTTGAAAGTTGAGGCCAGCAACCCATCGTGGGTCTGGTGACCGTACCTTCACGCATTACAGCAGTAGTACTTTGAGTGGTTTCGCATGTTTCACTGCGCAGATACTGCTCGAAGTTTATAATTTGTCAAAGTGACTAACTTTGCACTTCAGCAAGTATAAAGGTTACCAAATGTGTAAATGACCTTATATAGGTACTATATGAAAGAGAATAATTTATTCTAATATCCATCAAAACTGGAAAGTTCAATCACTTTTCTTCCTTGAGAAATCTGCCATTATTCTCAAGGTGTCCCATTTTTTACGGTTCACCCTAATAGAAATTTGGATCTTCTCTTGTTCACTAGTGCATAAATGTTATGTATCAATGTCTACTTATTATTTACTTTTCATTGAGAGTTCGCTAACTTTAGTGGTTTTGCAACTTGGGTTGAAAAAAAGATCTCTCAAAATTACTTTTCCACATTATGTATTCTTACAGCGTTTGATCTGCTCTAAAAAAAGTAGATAATAAGGAGCAACGTTTAGTTTTAATATCTCCATGAAAGAGCATTTCAGTGAGACTGTGCGCTTACCTTCATATTGGAAATGAAGTTTGACATAGAATTCTGTAATTGTTGGATGAAGCCGGGTGGAGCTTGGACTTGCGCTTGTCCATTTTCCAAATCCGGCACTGGCGGTACCTGTATACGAAAATGAATAAGGAGCCCTGAAAGGTGAGTTCATCCTCCAAGCACTCACCGAGTCGTTGACAGCCGGAGTGGGTTGACTAGGCTGAATTGCAGTCAGTCCCTGCTGTACCTTTTCCTTTACATCACCCAGTTTGTCTTTGAGCTTTGCAAGAAGTCCTGATCCAGCGTTTTTAGCCTGCTCAGCTAAATTCGTGCCAACCGACTGCACTTGAACGCTACCATTTCCTCCAGATTGAGCCAGAGCAGAACTTATGCATATAAAGAGTAGTGTGGCCCTCATTCTGAACAAAAATCATTTCTATAAAACTAGAAGCTTTTGAAAAATTGAACCGTGCAGCTCGATACAGACATAGTTAACTGACCGCGGGATTACCCAGATTTGTGGCTGTGCAGAGCTTTACAACCCGGATAGATTACGATGAAATGGCTCATTTCCTGTAATCCTACTATCGCGCAGTCTTCGGTCGCAGTTTTCAGGTCCATTTCGTATTGCCAAATAGAATAGGGTAACCTCCGATTTTTAGAAGGGTACCTGTAATGACTTTAAGTATGTCATTCTACACTAATGTTTTCTAAACATGCTTTTTGGCATGGCACAGAATGATATGATGTTGATAGTCTTCAAAATAAAGTGAAGTAAAGAGGCATTCATTCAGGACGTTTTCTCAGTGTTGGGAATTGCATTTCGACTCTATAAATGTATCTAATTTCTGTTGTCAACTCTCCTGAAATCATCATTATGCTCCAAATTGGCGGGAGCGGTGCAAAAATAGGCCCCATGATAATGAAATGGACGGAAAAACCACTGCAGTTTTTAGTAATTATATAAAACTAACGATCCAACTGAAAACACGCGTGAATATTAAATTTTTCTTAGCAAGAAAAGGTCATGACAGAGTATAAGTTTCTTGGCTTGTACTACAACAACGGCATCTATCACCAACCTCAACTTAAAGGCAGTGGATCGGCAAAATCCAACAACTCAGGATTTTAACGCGGTAGGTTCCTTATCGCTCAAGTATGAAAACAGTGCAATCCCGGCTGCACAGCATGCTTACCCTGGCAAGAAAATCGCTCTCAAATTACACGCGCAGGCCAATCTTACACGCATCTGGACGAGTTGGCAATTTCCTTCTCACCATTGGAGGCTGCCCGCCGCAACGCTATAACCATTGGGTCCTGCAACCGTTTAGCGTCATCGGCCTTGCTCCACTCGTCCAATTCCAAAGGTAAGGGTATTAAAAAACGCTTATTTTCGCTGTTTTCAAGCTTTCAAAAGTGGATTTTAGGGATCAGCGTAATGAAAAACCCCAGGTAAGCGAAAATTTCAGTGGGTTGAGATTTCCCAGCCACTGCCTTTAAGCACGGCTTTAGTACATCTAAAAAATCATGGGTTGGGGAACGAAAGCCGCCAGTTTGAGGCGCCTTTCGCGGCTAACTGATCCTTTCGCAACGTTGTTGCATGTCGTTGCAGGACCAGCAGTCCGCGCAGGCAGCCGAAGCTGGCGGCTTTCGTTCCCCCACCCAAAAATCATTCATCCTCTGACGAAACGCGAGCACGCTTTGCGTACATTTTGAGAACAAGTTCATGAACGAGTTTTAACGTATTTTGGTTGATTCAGTATTGAAATTCGTGGAAGAACATGTTTGAGCTCGTTAATCCAGGCTGACTTGAACACGTTCTTTCACGAATTTCTGATAGTACTTAACCAAAACGCGTTTAAACTCATTCATCAACTTGTTGATTAAACGCAAAACGTGCTCTCTTTCAGCCAGAGAGTGAATGATACTTACAATTTGCTAGAAGGTTCTCAAGCATGGATTAATGTTGTCTTCGAGTAGAATCCATGATTTTTTAATGTTTTTCCGAAAGTAGAAGTTGCAAGAAAGTAAATCTAATATTAATTTTCGCAAGGGACTAGAACGTACAATACCACCCGTAATTTGTGAAAAAAAATGGCGGCGGCACTTAACTTACGCGGCGCCGCCGAAGTTAGGTGACTTTTGCCGCTTTTTCCGCCGACTTTTGTCGCGCGACGCGGCAAAAGTCACCTAACTTCGGCGGCGCCGCGTAAGTTAAGTGCCGCCGCCATTTTTTTTCACAAATTACGGGTGGTATTGTAGGCTTATTTCTTGGATTAATCCCCAGAAAATTATTGTTCTTCTTTTTTTGACATGTATTGTTGCCGAATCCTGTTTTAGTGTTCTCCAAAGTGTCTCCGACGTACTATTATAGTTCTAACAAGTACTTCGGTAGCGAACAGACAGGCATGGAAGTCTTCGATTCTGAGTATACAGGCCCACTTCTGTCTAGACCACCTACTTGACATGTCTCAAGCAGATGCATAGAACATCTACAGTCTCTATCAAAGAAAGTGCATTTTCTGTTCAATATTTACCTAGCTGAGAATGTCAGCTTGTCGTGTGACTAAGCTAGTTCAATACTGAGTACTTCTCAATAACGATGGGTGGGGTTAAGAAGGACTTTGCAGTCATGAGCAAATAATGTTTTTTAAATAGAGCAGCGTAGCTTCTGCAATTCAATAACAAGCGTTTTCCGCTTACCAAAGTCCGTAGAACCTTAGCGCAAGCATTGCTAGACGAACAGAGAGTTGCAGTTTGCATTAGGTTGGTCCGAAAGTTCTTGCGCACCATTTTCAAAAAAAACATTACTTTCTGCCACTCCATGGATTTTTTGAAATTATTTTTGTTTGAAAGAGAAGATTTTGCGCATTACCGTAGTGCCTTTCACGCGAGTCATTATGAGATACTACAAAATTGAAAAGCCAATAAAGATAATTACTTCAATTTTGCAAATTTTGAGCATGCAAAAAAGCTTCAAACATCGCAGCGGAGACTGAAACAGCCGAACATGGGTTTTATGAGATCCTCTTTCTAGATGAGTGAAATTCGCGCCAATCTGGAGCAGATTTGACTTTCATTATTTTTCAGGACCTCGTTTTCGGGTTCCTGCTTTTCACACAAAAATTAAATCTGCTCCAGCCTGACACGAATTTTCACTCAGCCAGAGAGAGGAGCTCATAAAACCCATGTTCATGACTGTAATGACGAACCTAATATATTCACAGTTAAATGAAGTTATAATAAAATGATTTTTTTCATGATGCTATTGAGTTCGGGACAGTAACGAGCTTGTTGTTCATGAACAATTTTCATAAAAAAGAACTTTTTTCCTTTCGTTTCCACAAGACAACCAGCAGGAAATTCTATCGCTTTGGGCTTTGATGAGGTTTTGCAGAAGTTTTTGCGGAGTGTTCAATGGAAAATGATTCTTGCGCAAAACTTGGGTCTTACTTTTGTTTCTGATATTAAGGCATTGTTATTGTTCGAGAAAGCGCAAGCTGTTAGAATAAAATGTTATCTCATGGTAAGATATTTTCAGCGCTTTAGAAAAACAGGTTGCTAGGATTCTATCCAAATTTAGTAAATATTGATAAATTATTATTACTTAAAATATGAAATATCACCATCGTCTCTTCTTGAAATCTCACCACTTGCAGTTTCTGCGCGCGTTTACGAAAATCCCTGCGGTTGCTTTTCTCTTAATTTCCTTCGAATGATTGATACCCGGCATCGAAGATAATAGTTACATTCAGTTATCTGGAAAACTTTGAGGTACACTTGCACTAAAGATCGCGATCAATTGGGCCATGGTTGAGATCTCGGGGATTACGAAGGATTCAATTATAGAGGATTACAATCAATCGATTGAATCTTTACTTTTTCTATCCTTTCTTCTACCCTTCTCCCAAAAGCACAGCCTCATATATTGTGCTTGTTCTATGGCGATAGGTTAGTGCAGTACACGAAGAGCAGCTTTACCGTTGTAGAAAAAATCCTAGCTTTGAGAAAAGACCCGACAAGGGAGGGATACTTGCTGACCGTAGCCATTTTTAATGAGTTGTATGTTAAAAAGCCGCCTTTTAAATGCTGGTTCAAAAAAAAAGGTCTTTCATATCTGCGAAACCATAAGGTGGATTGAGCTAAAATCATTTTTTCAAGAATGAATTGCACTATTACTGACGGTCAAAAGTATCAAATTTTCCTGCTTTTCCAACTGAAGATAATTTAGGAATATACATAAACACAACAGTGTTCCTTTTCGATAAGATTGTTGAGCTTGACCAAGATGAGTATGATGCTGGTACACCTCCTAATGTTAGTATGGTGAAGGTTCGGTTTTCCTTATACCAATCTTTCATACCAAACTTGGTCAAGCTCAGCAATCTTACCGAAAAGTGCATACAACAATGCCTTCACAACAGTGCTCCTTTTAAGATTTTTTCAACAGCATCAAATAAACTAGGCCAAATTTGGTGATTTAAACTATCCGTAAGTATGCAACTTCAATAAGAAAAAATTCATAGCTTTTTTCAAAAGATTGTTTCGCAGATGTCGTGCACAGATGTAGAATCAGCGCTTCGACATGGTTTTATGAATATGTCGCATTTCAAATGGCCATGGTCCCCCCAAGTATCATTGCCTTGTAAGTAAACTGAGGGACTTGTAATTTGAATATAGACTAATCATAAATCTTCGACTTTGCCCCTGTTCTCTATTTGATCTCATTTTTTGCCTTCAAACAACTGAAGAGCTTTTTTATACAATCGGTTAAGCTTTGTGGCACATGTAATCGGGTTAAAATAGCGAACGGATGGAATAAACCAGAATAAGCGGTGCTCGCAACGTTTTATGGTGAATATCGAATGATTTTCTAAGCTGAGATAGCGCTGTCGATAATTGTTCGAAAATTCGTGATCTTTTGTGTATGCCATTTTAGGTGCCCGTAGCACCGATTTGTGTAGCTGTTGATCGTTGATTGATGAATCATATAAGCGAATCTATTCAACAATTTCACGGCGACACATCGTAATTATTTTGATAGGCCACGTCGGAGAGATCGAAAAAGCGGCCGAGTTTGTGCAGGAGCATCAAGCCCGATTCATAGCAGCTGTGATCATAATGACTATTCATCGACGACGAAAACATTTCTTGATCTGTTTATGACGATGTGTGAAGTATGATTTTCTTGGGGTTACTGTAACTATGACAGGGTTAGATTGCAAATTTGCGTACCGCAGCTGCGAAGAGCACGATTAGGATTTTTAAAAAGTAAACTGTACTACTTGTGTCAACTACCCAAAAAAGTTGCCTCATAACTTTAGTTCATACAACATTCCCAACACCACGAGACAATTTGTTTACCCAAATCTAAGAAGTGTGCCACTATTGCAGTGTGACTGCAAACATCCACAGCGCTGTTTTTCCCAAATAGTAAAAAGTTCGTAGAAATCATTCTAGTTTGCACTCAGAAAATTGTTAGGTTAAGCTCTTTAAGTTTTAAAATTCAGTGGATTCCTCGGTAAAGTAGTATTTTTGTTAGGACCTGCATACATGACACAAATTTCAAATTTCTGAAGCAGTACTTGCTTGGTTTATAGATTCTAATTGTTACGCCAGGATACCAATATACAAATGCGGCTGTCTAATGATTTTGAAAATAATTCTACCAGATCTCTGATAATGTGTGCAAGTGTATTTCGGTTATTTAACCATATTACACAATATGGATAATCTGCTGAAACTATATTTATAAAAATTGTTGCTATTTCTACATATCTAATACGCAGTGTAAAAAAACAAGCACATAACAGCAAATCGAATCTGAACAAGCTGTGAGGAAACTAATTTCAATGTTCATTAAAATCACTCTTGTAAAAAATCAATTATATATGACTTAATTTCTGAAAGTGGGAAATTACAAGTCTTGTTCTGATACAAGTATATGATAACGACTGATCAGTATTAGGTTAGGTCCAGTTATATGATGGTAAACTTTTTATAGCAAAATTACCGCATTTGTAGGAATAGTTCCAGGGTAACTAACTTGCAGGTGGTCTAATAGAGTGTATATTTTTTACATGACATGACTATGAATTTAGAGAAAATCCACAAATCTAGAAAGAGTCAAGACCCTCAACCTTGCTTGAGGTCCTCTAAGTTTGCAACAATTACAGATGGTCTTACCCTTCATTTAACTCTGACATTCAGAGGTTACCATGATTTTTTGGAAGAGCGTCACTCTTATTTACTAAACATTGAGATTGTTTGAAGCCATTCAGTCGTGTAACCAACTGCATGTAAATTCACTTTTGAGACTGAAAATACAGGGATGCTGCAAGAAGGATATAGGTCGAATAAATCGATTTGTTATTTATTGGTTACAAATGAGAGCCGGTAGCAATGAAATCTTTACCCTACAGTACCCTAAATTTGCATGAAATCAGTGGTCTTCTTACTTAGAGGCATCATAGTGAGAGCATCCAAGTCAATCTTAGTGAATACTGTAACACATTATATTAGTTTGCTTCTCACGCTTAACATAGAGCGTTCAAACAAGATCTGTGGTCATGTGTAAAAGCGCTAATATATTGTAATTTATGCAATAGTATATTATGTTATGCGTACTGCTCGGCCAGAACTATCCTTCTATATAAAGCTGAATGTCTGTTTGTCTGTCTGTCTGTCTGTCTGTCTGTATGTCTGTCTGTACGTATGTTCCGAATAGAAAATTCCATTTCTGAACCGATCCGGACCAAACTTGGCACACATACACTTCGGGGCAGGGCGGGTGTCATAGGCTACTTTCCGTTATCGATCGATATCGATTTTATCGATTTTTGCAAAAATTGAGCTACAGGGCTGGGAGTTGGCACAGAGGGGTAATCGAGCATGTGATTATAAATATATTATTGACAGGCGCAGGCGGAGCCGGGTTTGCCAACTAGTTCGAAATAATTCTCAAACCGATGAATAGCACTGCCAAATCTATGATTCCAAACTCCCACGCGCATAAGCCAATCATACCTCCCTCGTGAGAATTATGCAAACCTAAAAATCGCCAAATATGTTATAATCACTGTTTTTCCCGTAACGTGTTTGTTTGGTATCATCGGGTAAAGCAGGTTTCAAACCACAACAAAGGGCAAGCAATCGCATACTGGTTAGTGAGCTCATACGGAGTCCACGGCTCTGTTTGCATAGTTGAGGAGTGAGTCAGACGAAGGCGGTCCCGACAATAGATCAGCATCACGGAGTAGTGAATATAAAGCCGAGGGGCAAGTGGATAGATATCAAATGTTGTTTTGTTCTAGACTTATTCAATTAGGTCTGCTCTCATTTCATCAAACTTCCTCTTCATCATATGAATCCTTTCAATAAATTTTGTCTGATATTGTGCATTTACAGAATGAACAAAATCCTAGCAATCCTAGCCATCATTGGCGCAGCAGTCCTCGCCCAGCCGGAGTTCAACGACTTCCCAGCAGGAGCACGAGGTCCCGGAGGCAGATGGGGAGGTGGCCTCGAAGGAAGACCGGGCCGTCGCCCACATGGTCCTCCACCGCCACCGTTCCTCCGTGATGTGAACGAAGTGGCCAGAAATGAGTACTTCGCAATTTTGAGGGACATGAACAAGACCATCAATCAGCAAAAGCAGGAGATCAACACATGGGCTGAGAAATATGGAATTTCAGTAAGTCACTTCTTTCGTAAGTGGAAAAAGTTGAGAACAATAAGTTTTTTTTTCAAGGACAAAGTCAAGGAGTTCGAGGCTAACATGACTAGATTCAAAGAAGAAATCAAGAAAAACGTTACCGAACTTGTCTCTCAACTTCCTCAAGCTGTACAGAGAGTTTCCGATATTATGGATAACGAAGATCAGACTCCTAGAGAAGTTTTCGAGAATCTCAGAAAGCTCACCGAAGAGAACCCAAATGTGAGGTTTATTCGAATATGCAAACAAATTCAGTATTCAAAAAAATCCCTTACAGCTTTTCCGCCTTGCCAAATTCGCAGCTGATATATTCATGAAACCCCGTGGTCCCCGTGGTGGTCCCCGTGGCGGTCCACGAGGACGTGGAGGACCAGGAGGACCACCACCGCCACCACCACCATTCGGAGGACCGGATGATGACTTTGAAGGACCCGGATTTGGTGGACAAGAATTCGGACAGAACAATGGCTTCGGTGGTCCAGGAGGCTTCAATGGTACGCATGAAATCAATTTTTTTGCACACTTGACAATTTTTCGATTTTTAGGACAAAACAACCGTGGCTTGAAAGGCTTTCGGGTTTAAACATTTGCCATATTGATCGATATTATCTCAGTAATAATGTATTGTATTTTTGTTCGTGAGTAAAATGGGTTTTGGAAACCATTTTGCTAACTTGCCGTTTTTATTGGAATGAATTATTTTAAATGCTATTACTGTAATGCATATTCAAAGATGCACTCACAAACAGGAAGGCTTCAAAAAATACTCAATAGCCTTTGAACTAATAACACAAGCTAAGACGAGGGTTATATATAGTCTTCAGTTATTAACCGTATATAGCAGTGTAGTTTAACGGTGAAGCAGAACTCAATTCAGATGGCGTAGAAAGATTTGGCGAATGGATTTTTAATTAATTGCAGGAGGTCTTATCATTAGAAACGTTTGAATCATTGAGTTGGTAATAGAACTCACACCATCTGCTTTAGAGAAACCATGGGATGATTTAAAAGATTCTAAAGATTGAAATGTTTATGCCATGAATTGACCACAGCCTATCTCAGCCGGTTTGCGGAATATAGTACCGAATGATGACGATTATCCTTAGTGCCATGTGTACCAAACGTCAACATAACAAACGATGGATTACGGCTTATTAAACCGGTATACCAGTGGCGGTCCCAGTGTTTCCGTTCGTGAAGGGACGACAAAATTTTTTTGAATAAAAGTGCTTGGTATTAGCCACACACTTCGAAAACTTTCTTGAGATGCCTCCCAAAATTTTTGCGGACCTGTGATCCGGTTATTTCCAGAGAAATTTTTTTAGAAGGGCAATTTGAGTTTTTTGAAACTTTGAAAACTATTCTAAGATTTAGATTGTAAACAAGTCACTTGCGCACGAAAATCTCGCATCTCATTCTGGAAGGGGGGGGGGACTACATTCCTGAAGAAGAAGAAGGTTAGCCAGTTGGGCATGGGAACCCATCTTTGAATCTCTAATATGTGATAAAGTTTCTAGGTAACAACTTTGTAGCAGATGCAAAGTCGCGTCCAACTAAATTTTCATGGATCTTACTATTCACGAAGAAGTTTGCTCGCCTCGCTAATGATCTTCTTCGGGGTACTTTTGTTTGCAATCTATCTTGATGACAGGCGGATCCAAAAACAGTTTCGTGTTTACAGGATCCGTCTGCCTTCTGTTTCTCTTCAATGTGACTGTTCTTTCAGTGTTTTGTTCCTCATATATTCCAGTGAATCATAAGAATGGGACATAGTTTTTTGAGTCTGTTCCAAATACGACAAGATTCCGCGTGTGTTGTTTGGTACATTTTAGAAAGCTACCCTTTGATTCAACGAGACTGGCGGCCGGAAGGTGGCCGCTCCGCGCCCGCGACACAATCTGCGTCTTCCTCGAGACCGCGCCCTCTGATCACCTTCTAGCTGTATTTAGGTCACGAAACCCCGCCTTCCAGCCGCCGATCCAATTGAGTCAAAGGGTACGCCCAGGCGTTCTTTGAATGGTTTGGAATAGTATAGGTGATCGAGTTCAACGGTTGGCTCAAAGCTGCGGATCTGTTGCTGGTCATTGGCCTCCTTAAGTGGCCCGAGGCAAAAGCTACTCTTTTGTTTCTATTGAGTTCTTACTTTCAATTAGCACATCAGAATGCTTTTTGTTTTACAATATTCAGGGTCCAGCACGAGAGTTGCAAATGCCAAGCGTGAAATCGTTTTTAGGAGGAAGCGAAGGGAGTATTGTGAAAAACTATAACATATGCTTTTCGAACTGGGCTTTGATGCACGAAATAATGAACAAATGCCCCGTTTACAGCGCACAGACAACGAACACGAATTTTTTTTTACATAAATGGAAAAGACCTAAAAGGATAAAATTCTGAGGGTTTTAAAAGGATTTTTTTCAACGGGTGAGGCAAGCTCTTTTGCGAAAAGTTTCGTACTACTGATAACAGGAAAATTTACTCGTTTGCAACGTACAGGTAACGATATGACTCCAAGTTGGTGTGTACCGCGAGGAGCAATAACAAAATATGAACATGAGTCACGTGAATGAAAAGCGTGCTCAAGTTTTCAGAATGCAAAAGTTTCAGTTCACTTAGTTTTCCCATACTTTCACATCAATCTGATCTACACTCAAAGTTTACTTAAATTTGGTTTTTGGTTTGAAAACTCTTCTATTTACGATAGTAATCACCGGTTCTTGGATAGGGAGTCGCGCTAAAAAAGAACGATCCAGGCAGCTGACACAATAGGATTCGTAACAATTTGTTCCACAGGACACTTTTGAAAATGCATCCTCTGCATCTTCTTTGCTTCATTCAAAGCAATTGTAAAAATAGATGTCGATTTTGAAAAGTTATAAAAAATCCCATACGAAGTGTTGTGCAACTGAAGTTTGGTATCTCGTACGAGGTAAGCGCAGTTGAATCATTAAGGCTTTCACTACGGCAGCTTCTTGGTGGTCTTCTTCAAGCGCATTTTCATGTTCTTGGCATGAGAATTTGAGCCAAACTTTCAACAGGTTTGCACTTCTTTCAAAATCACCCAAAAATGAGTTTCCCTCACGGCCAGTCACATTTTGATTTGAAATACTATAGCCTTAAACGTCATGAACCATTTCTTTCCTTGAAGAGAAATTAAAGTTTTCTTTAAGGATCGCACTGTCGCTCCATGAGGGTGGTTGGAGCACGGCAGAGGATGAGATTAATCTCTAAGCATACTCCTTACAGTGAAATGTGCCCAATCTCCGAGTTGAATGTTATCCAATGACTGGATTCTTTCATAAAATGGGTTTATGGGCCTAAGAGTTGATTGCAATTTTATTGCTTGGACCTATATTCAACTCGTTAATAGATTTCTCTCATAATAGCATACATTTTTTCGCTAAAATCGCTCACAGCAAACTTTGAATTGTAGGCAACCTATGCTACGTCCAGAGTTATTTAATTTTTGTAAGTTGCTGGTTTTGAAAAATAGCAGTTACTGAAGCTTTCTCTTCATGTGAACGTAGACGCAGATGCAAGTCGAGTGGTAGGACCTCATGTAACAGCCACAACTCTGAATTGTTCGAAATGCTGCATAGGAACGATTGCCATTTTTTATTATTCTCATTCGTAGTAGCTCTTTGGAGCTACCAGAAACCTTTAACCCAATTAAACGTTCATGCAAAGCCGGATAGGAGGCTATGGCCAGTACAAACCCCTCCAGTTAGTACCATGGCGCGCCAGTACAGCATCCAGCGAGCTATCAATCTGGATGCTGATCGTTCTGATGTGATAAAGGTGGCATTCTCATGAAAAGAAACAACAACACTTATATGCAGGCGTGGTCATATGGACAAATTCGAGTTCGAAATCGAGCGGAATCACTCTTGCTGTCAGACGTCAAAAATCAATGACAACCGCTACCAAAAATTTTGCCTAGCGAATGGGTAAACAAAACAGAATCGTGTCCAGCATCTTCATAAAAAAAACGAAACTTTCAAACAGAATTAAGATGAGATAAAAATCCTTTCTATGCAGTTTTCCAAAAAATTAAAGTAAACCGTGCAAAGAAAAAAAGGAAAATTTACTTCAGGTTTTTTTCCGGCCGAGTCAGCTGCTCAACTATTCTTCCATAGGCCCCGAAAAAGTCCAATTTCGCGCACCCTCAGCCGTGGCATTATGTTAACTGCCGTGTTCCTGTGAATTACCATCGTTTCCCAGATTGCCGCGAGGGGAAGTCTGTTTGATCGTTAGCTACTCTCTTGCTTCCACGTCTTTTACCGAGCTTAAGGTGCCGTTCTGTAAAGCGAGGTTCAACTTAGATTTGCAGTGTAAAGCGAATCATCGGCCGCTCTTCATTACTCTAAGATTACGGTATAATCTTCCAGCATACAGCGTCACTGTGGAATAGGCCTTTTGATGAAATAATTGTAAATACTCTGAAAATTTATGTAGCAAGGTTTTCAGGTGTGCTGATTTCACTACATGAATTTTCACCAGTTTTTCGGGCTTTCTTGATGGCGTATTCACAGTCCTGACCAACACTGGAAAAACAGTTGTTACCCTAAATCTGCAATAACTTATGAAAGAAGCACATACTGAAGTGCAAATTTCATATTCAGAATTAGCGACTTCGATAAGCCCACTTCAAAAGTTTCTGGCTTTGGCTTGCTTTCTGAGGCAAAATACCGGCAAAATACCGCTTTCTATGGCTCAAAATCCTCGAAGTTTCTACCATAATCTTACAGTAATGAAGAGCAATTGATGATTCGCTCTACACTGCAAATCTAAGTTGAACCTCCTACAGAATGGTACCTCAGGCTTGGCAAAAGCCATGAAAGCAGAAGAGTTATTAACGATCAAACAGTGTGCACATCTTTTTGGGACACCCTGTATATCCTCTATCCTGCAAAGTCGGATAGCCGACCTCTAATCACCGCAAAAATAAAAATAAAAGCTATAGATTTCTCGCACTTTTAGAGAAGCGATTTGATCTGATCGAAAACTGTTCAAACATTTATCATGCTTTGTTTCAAAGACAAGTCTGGTCTAACAGATACTTGGATAGAATCCGAAAGAGCTTTTTTACTCTACGATTTTCTTATGCTTGTCGGTTTTCTCATTCTTTTGCCGACTATAATTTTGGTGAGATGACCAAAAGCAGTTCTGTGCAAGAAAAATAATCTCAGCGAATCAAAATCTTTTTTGGAGCCGAGAGCGGCTGACTAAAGAAAGAAAACTTATTCATTTTGAATTTGGCCATGTTGAAAACTTTCTACTCATCAACTTCACTCTAACTTCTCAGCTCTCACTGCAGCAATGTGCCACACGTTTGGTCTGGATGCATTTGTGATCTTTGGGCAAAATCTGAAAGAGTACACTATATTCATTGCTTATTTGCAGTTCGAAAAATTACTTGTGTGAGCACTTTCTTCCAAACTGTGTTGTTTCACCACACCATTCTTTCTTCATCAAGAGCTTACCGCTTTCGCACTTCGGATGGCGCTCCTTTCCCGATTTTTCTGGAATTGATCGAAAAAGAATCTATAGGGCATCCGTAAAATCGTGATAATGGGCGACCGCGCTACACGGACGCGCTTCCGGCACCGCATTCACTTTCCATTACTACATTACTTTTCCATTACGGTTTTCCTGTTACATATAATGATATTAGGGTGTCTCAAAAGTTTTATTGGTTTTCATCGATCACTGAA